AAGTCATCTGGGCAGAGCCATCCTGCAATACTTGGAAATGAGCTTTCCTAGAAGGTTTACAGGGTGAGCACCTGTGGGGATTTCTGGCCAGCCCACCAGCCCACAGAGAAAAAGTGCAGGTGTGGGTGCCCCTAAAAATGACACTTCTACTTCAGCTGTTTCCTTCTGAAGCAGAGCATGGCTCGCACAAAAACTCCTTCCCTTCCCTTCCCTTCCCTTCCCTTCCCTTCCCACAGTGTCTGCACTGCCCACCCTGTGAGAGGGGCATGAGCTCTCTCCTGGTGTGGGGGTCTCTTCCCTGCTAGCCTTAGAGCTCCCTCACAGAGCCCAGCCTGGGCTGGATGGTCCCTGAGGCCCCAGGTCTGCAATGACTACAGTTTTTGCCTTAACCACTCCATTCATCCATCCACTCATTCACACGCTCATTCACTGCGCTTACCTGCTGGCAGTGATGCGTAGATTGTGCATCACAAATGGTCGTACCAAGGCCTGTGCCAAGGCCCTTTCCCCGGCTCTCCACTGGAAACAAAGGCCACAGCAGGCCCAGTCCCAAAGGGCACAGAGCTGCCATCAAGGCCCCCAGAGGAAGTGAGGGTTAGTGAGGGGAGGACATGAGAGACATTGGCCTGAGGTGGCCGGAGGCGTCTAACTCCACCTCTTAGGAGCATTTCATTGGCGTGCTGGGAACTGCCATCTACGGTCTCAGCGGGGGTGAAAGCATCACCTTGCTCAGAGCGTGCATAAGTAGACAGCCCCCCAGACATGTCAGGACCCCCTGCTGCAGGGGCAGGAGGTTTGGCTCGAGGATCTAGCTGGCAGCACGGCACACCTGGCATCAGGGCTGGATCCTCAGCCCTCAGGCTTCACCAGGCGACATGGAACTGTCCAGTGCACACAAGCAAGGGTAGTGGATATGCAAGTGTCTGAGGCTGCGTACTTCCCATGGTGGGCCCCAGCCCCGGGCCTTGGGTCCAGGGCATGGGAAGAGTTGGCCCCATGGAGGCCCTGGAGGAGGAGGACTGGGGGTCAGCTTCTGGGCACCCCAGGCCTCTAGGCTGCCGATCTGCAGACAGTACACTGGGGGAGAGTGCAGGGCCATGGTGGGGCCCGGGGACCAAGCTGGGCTGGTGCAAAAGGGCCCTCCTCCTGGAGCAGGCAAGCCTGGGGCCCGGAGCAGGGCTGGCTCCCACCACAGTTCTGGCCTAGCTCCTGGATGTGCCCTGCGGCTTCCGGTCCTAAGCCTGGCCAATGCTATTTCCCCACCCTGGGCGGCCTTTCCTGTGTCCCACCCCTTGCTGGCTGACTCCTGCTCACCCTGGACTTGATCCAGGGAACTCAGCAGCCTGGGAGCCTCTCAGGCACCCTGCCTCCCTCCTGCTGGGCTCCTTTCCCAGCTCCTCCCTGTCTCAGCTCGCTTCCCTGGGCTGCACGGCCCCCCGCCTTTGGTCATCTTTTTCAGTTTGTGAACAGTCCTCAAGGTCAGGGGTGGTCTTTGATTATCTCTGTTTTGCCAGCTAAGTAAATTTCTGGTGATAAAATGGGTCATTTGGGTTTAATAGTTGGGAGAAGAGACAGTCATGGGGTTTTAAAGGATGAATAGGAGCTTCCAAGGAAGGGCAATGCAAGCAGAGGGATGGATTTTTTGCTAAGGACAGAGTTTTGGAGGGAACAAGAAAAAGCTGCTCAAGAAGTGAGGAGACAGGGGTGAGCTGTGTGGGACTGAGTGGCCCAGGTCTGTAATTCCAGTTACTGGGGAACCTTAGGCAGAAGGATTGCAAGTTCCAGATCAACCTGAACAAACTGTATCAAAATAAAAAATTAATAGGGCTAAGGATATAGCTCAGCAGAGGAAGATGTGCCTAACTCAATTCTCAGTTCAAAGAAAAAGTCCAGAGAGCGAGACTGGGCAGGTGGAGGGAGGTGCGCAGCAGTGTGGACTCAGCAGGGGCCCAGGAGGTCCTCCCAGGGGCTCAGCCAGCCTGTCCAAGACAGCTGTAAGGGTGAGGAGTTGGGAGTGCACACACAGGTGGCACAGGGACCCCAGGAGTCTCGGCATGGTGGGCGGGCAGACACAGGCCTTGCTGTGGGCTGGAGCACCCTGTGCACCATGCACAGCTGGCGTCCCAGCCCAAGAAACTGATCTCCACTGGCCTGGCTTGGGTGGCAGCACCCTGGGGGTCTTTATGTCCTTCCTCCCATCTGTCACAGTGCAGTCCTGTAGGGGACACAACCTCCTGGCTTGGACACAGGGGCTACACGGGGCAGGTGACCCCACCTGGCACAGTTGGTGACTCACCGGAACCTGGGATTCTGTGTACTATGGGAGGAGGGGGCAGGGCTGGGTCCCAGGATGACCCAGTGTTCACCAGTGTCATTGGCACAAACTTGTGCAACACCTGTCCCTCAGCTCTAGTTCGGGGGATTGGGGGTGGGGCTGGGACCCATGGACAACGAGGAGGGGCAGAGCACAGCTCGGTGGCTTTGGGTGGGGTGCAGCTGGGGCAGGGCTTGGCAGAAGCCAGCAGGTCAAGGCTTGGCTATGGGGCCATGGCCGCCTGGGGTCCTCAGGAACTAAGGTGACAGCAAGCAGCCTCATAGCCCATGTCCCATCTCCCTGCTAGAGCCCCTGGCTCTCCAGCACAGTGGTGGGAGTCCTGCCTGCCCCATCTGGAGCACAGCAGTTCAGCCTCCCCTGGGTGGCCACACTTCTGGACCACTTCCGGGTTCTCCAGCAGCCCCTGCCCCGCCCCAGGCCCACGAGGCATCTCCATGGGTGAGGTACGAGGCCCAGCAGGGCAGCCGGTCTGGGAGTGACCCGCACATCCCTGCTTCCCCGGGGGCTTTCTAGAGTGGGGTATGGATCCTAAAGATGGCCACAGTTGAGTGTTCTGGACAAGTGGCCTCATGCTGCTCTGCTTGCCTCAGTTTCCTCATCTAGAAGGTGGGGGCTTGAGCAGGATCCATCGTCCGGGACTATCGGAAGACCCCAGGTGCTCAGAAAGGAAAAAGTGGTCGGTCCTCTGCCACCTCTCCAGGGGCTGGCCAGGGTGGGTCCGAGCCCCGAGGCCTGTCTGTGGAACAGTGCACAGGCATCCTGCACCGGCACCTCCTTGGCAGCACTGGGTGCAGGGCAGGGGCAAGGACGGGAGGACACCCTCAAAGGTTCTTCTGATCTAAGACACAAGAGGAGCTCTGCTGTCCCAGGGACCCTGCTTGGGCCTTTCAGTGGGTGTCCTGGGGACTCAGACGTGGTCTCGGGCTCCAGGGACAGGAGGTGCCCCTTGGGTCTATAGCCCACACACGGTGTCCGCCTGCTTGAAGCACCACCCCTCCAACCCCGAGTTGCTGCCCCTCCCCCTCCTGGGCACCTCTTCCTTCCCTTCCCCACAGCCAGGGCTGCCGTGGCTCCTGCCTGGGCAGCTGCTCTTGCTCCTGGCCTCTCAGCTCCTGGGTTTACATCACCTTCCTCCAGGGGGCACCTGCCCCTGAAGATGAACTCCAGACAGCGCAGTGGGCATCCATGGGAAGAATCCGTCTCCAGGCCACCAGACGAGCTCTCTGCAGATGGCTTGGTCCCATTGCCTGCGCTGGCGACAGCAGGTCATGGAGTAGGACTTGTGTCCCTGATGAAACCCTCCAGGAGGGCTTTGCATGCAGCAAGGACATGGAGGGTCTGATGGCTCAGCGTTTCCCCTGGGCAGGTCTGCATGGAGAACCTGGAGGCTGATGACCCCAAAGAACTGCAGGATGAGCCCCAAAAGCACTGGGGGCCCACTTGGGGCAAGGGGAGCAGGCACAGCTTCCGCTGTGGCCACCGGCTTCTCCCTGGCTCTTGCCTTCTCCCTCCTCCAGTATATGGATACCCTGCGTCCTGGACCTCTTAGCCGCTGGATGGCATCATGTGACCAGTTCTGGCCAGTGGGCTGTGAGTAGAAAGGATCTATGTCATTTCTGAGCCCAACAGGGAGACCTCAGCACATTCCCTTCCTGCTGTAGTGGGTAGGTGCTGAGGTTCTATATTCAGATCCTAGTCATTTGCCACACACGGCCACCCTGGGGAGGCACAGGAAGGGACCTAGCAGTTCCCTCAGTCCCAGGCATTTCAAGACTCCCCAGCAGACGCTGACCCGAAAGGTTGGGGCCATCGGCAGCCACTAGAGAGGCCCTGGGATTGGGCAGGTGTGATACAGGGACATAGAGATTTGCTCTTGTCTGTCTCCTGGCATGAAACTCCCAAGTCTTAGGTCTCTTTACAGGGACTTTTGCTGCTGAGAGGTGGCTTCAGGACAGGGCTGCTGAGGATGAGGCAAGGTGGCAGGATTGGAGCCTGAGTCTTCCAGCCCCACGCCCATGCCCTGGGAGCGGAGAGGGGCTACAGGCTGAGCTGACCACTACCTCAGTGATGTGACCAAGCCAGCTGAAGGAATGACGTCAGCACAGGTTGCAAGACAGAAGTAGGGAGGTAGGCCCCCCACGGGCCTCAGCGCTCCCCAGAGTGAACTGAGGCTCTGCACCCCTCCCCTCCTCTGTGCTGGTCCTGTGCCGGCTGCTCATGTTCTCTCTCCTTCCCTCGCTGTGCTCAGCCGCAGCCAGCCACCATGGCATGTGAAACCTTCCCTGCTGTCCCAGCTGCCCTGTGTGCCTTCCCTTCTACCTCCTCCAGGAAGGCCTCCCTTTAGGAAGCCCCCTCTTGAGACAGTCTCCCCTAATCTTGGACACATTGGGGCCCTGGGTGCCTTTTCTGACCAGCAGTGGTCAATCCTGGGGCATTGACTCGGGTTGGACTCCCAGCCTGCTCTGGGGCAGCAGATGCCCCCTGACTGGCGGCCTGGGCAGACTGAGGATGGCTCCAAGGGGGGGAGAGGCTCAGAGCCCCATGGCTGCCTGGGGTACAGGTGGGGGAGGGCCCTGCGTGTTTGTGCTGCAGGCACCAGGCCCCCTTCCCCATGGCCCACCCAAGTCTTCAGAAGCCCCCACGCTCCTGTCCGTCTTTCGCAAGGTATAGCTCAATGTCTTTTATTTTCCCAGGCAGCCCTGGGATCAGACAGATGCTGGGCAAACAAGAAAGGGGGTTTCCAGTTGTATGGGCTGGGACAGCTGAGTGGCAGGAAGTGCTTTAGGTGCTAAAAATCCCCGTCCACAGTGGGCTGGTGTGACGCTGGATGCCAGGCAGGGTCGGGCCCTGAGAACACTGACCGAGGCCCACTCCTGGTCAGTGACAGCTGGGCCTGCCAGGAGGGGAAATTGGCTTGTGATGGCCACATGGTGGGCAGAACCTCAGTGCAGGCACATGTGCCTGGCCCGTGAGCCCTGGCGGGCACCTTGCCAACTAGAAGAGGCAGTGTCCCCGTCCTCCTGCCCCAAGAGCATTTGGTGTGAGTGTAGGGGAAGCACAGGAGGACATCTCCAGGTGCATACGGCAGATGGTGAGCCCAAAGCCACATGGGACCAGGCTGGGGTACGGACACCTTTATTCCAGGGCTTTGGCCAATGGGAGGATCCCTTTCTGAGACTCAGAACAGTGGCAGGGGAGACTGGGGTACCGTTCACACGCATTTACACACAGCACTGGGGGTGTGTCTTCAGGGTAGCTGCATGACACACAGAGGAAGAGAGACACGAGGAGACAAACAAGGCGCCGTGTCCCCAGGAACCAGGGAACCGGAGCCACAGACACCTGCGGATGGGGTAAGGCTGGAGGCGCCCCTCGCAGGGATGAGACACTAAACTGCATGTATGTCCTCTTCTGTGGAAGGAAGCTATACTTTTTAATAAAATAAAAACTTCTGTGTAACTTGAAAGACATCATGGAGGCATCTAGGGGGTGATTTGGAAGCAGGACACAGTGCCCGGGGCGGCACTGGTGTAGGCGCCCCATCAACCTGATGCCTGTCCCTCCCAAAGACCTACCACGGACAGCTGTGGAAACCCCGCGCTTTGTACTTGGCACAGCCTGCGGAAGCTCAGCATCGCCCTCCTGCCCTGGCCTGAGTTTGGGAGGCCGGCTGTGCCCGCCCCGCTCCCAGCTGCCACCCCGAGGGTCTCACACCAGCCACTGACACCACATCCCAGCCAAGTGCCTGGTGCAGGGGCTCAACACTCCAAGGATGCTGCCAAGGGGGCTGTGGCCACCTTTGTGACAGCCAGGCCGCAGCGTCTCCTGGCGCCAGCCACAGCAGGGGAAAGGCGGCCAAGCTTGTGAGAGGCCCTAATCTACAGGCAGGAGTATCACTGGCACAAAGAGGGGCGCTGCTGGGACCTCCTCCCTCCCTGCCTGGCTCCCCAGGCGCCCTGTCCCCCACAATACAGAGAAGCAGAGCGAGGTGCAGTGGGCGTGCATGGTTATCTTCCGTCCCTTGGGCCCCGTGCTGAGAGGCTGGTGGCCGTCAGAACAGCAGGGCCTTCTTCTTCAGCTCATTCCTTTTCCACAGGGCCAGGCGGTCAAACTCCTCAACGCTCATCCCAAACACTTCCTGGAACTCCTCAGGCGACAAGTGTCTCTTCAAACAAGGGAAAACAGAGGTGCAGTCATCAGCTCTGTGGCCGTGCTCCTCCAAGGTCCACTGTCCAGAGGCAGAGCTGGGGACAGGGCGGCCTCCAGAGCACGCTGGGGGCCTGGTGGCTCCCCGAATTCCCCCTTGCCACATGCAAAGACCAGGCACAGCTGCAGCCAGCACCCTGGACTCGGGGCCTAGGGCGCCCGCCCCACAGACAGACACCCCGCCCCGCATCGGCCTGCCAGGGAAGCCCAGCTTTTCCTCAGTGCCTTTGCCCTGTCGCTGCACTGCCACAGCTGCTGCTGGTGAGCAGGAGGTAGGTCACCTCCGCCTCAGTCTCCCCACTTCTAGACACGGAAGCTGGGGCGTGGCCAGGGAGCAAAGGGACCTCTAGTGTGTGACCAGCAGCAACTGCTCCTGGTCTGAGCCCAGCTCCTGAACTGGGCACCTCGGGCAGCGCCTGCTGGTCAGGCACCCAGGTGTGGGAGCCCTGGAGGGCAGCTGCCTTGGTTCCACCCTGGAGCCTAGAGCCAGTGCTGTCCAGTGCCTGGCACTGGTACGGCCTCTTTGCTGTGACCTCAGCTGGTCAGAGCAGGCTCCACAGGCCACCCACCTCCCCTGGCCCTGGCTGCTCTCACAGCTGTCTTCCTCCCCAGGCCTGCAGGAACTGCCCACTCTGTGGGGCCTCGCTCAGGAGGGCAAGGGCTTCTGCTCTGAGACGCCACCCTGGGGAGCCTAGGGCTTTCCACACTGGCTCAGCCAGGAAGACTTGTGGTAGGCTGAGACAGGTTGGGGCAGGAGGGCACATGCACCCTTACGATGCGTGGTGTCTCGTCTAGGCAGCAAGGACATCCTGGCTCTCAGTGCCACAGGAGAAGCCTGGACCACCCCAGGCTGTGTGAAGGAAGCCTGTCACCTCAGACCCCAACCTGTAAGATTGCATTTGCCTGAAGCACTCAGGTCAGCAAGTCCAAGAGACAAAAAGCTACCTGCGGTTGCCGGAGGTGGGTGGAGAAGAACCGGGGGTGACTACTAATTAATGGGTGTGGAGCTTCCTTTCGGGGTGATGAGAATGTTCTGGAATGAGATAGCTATGACAGTTGCACATTGCACACGTGTGAAAGCCACCGGAAGGCTGGCCAGACAGCTCAGGGGCTAACGCGCCTGCTTGGGCAGAGCACAGCGGCTGGGGGGTGCTGCCCCGGCCCCGCCCCAGGGCACACTGAGCCGCTGAGGCAGCGGTGGTGGCGCAGGCCTGTAACCCAGCGCTTGGGGGGCTGAAAACAGAGAGTCACTACGAGTCCGATCTGTGTGGGGAGACCCTGTACTAAATACATTTAAAAAATAAAAATTAAAAAAAAGAAATGCCACTGGATAGGGTTAAAATGTTTAAAATGATGACTCTTGCTGCAAATAATTAATTAATATTCTTACTTGTCTTTTTGAGGTAGGGCTTCACTGTGCAGTCCAGGCTGGCCTTGGACTCACTTTGTAGTCCAGGCTGGCCTCACGCTCACAGTGATCCTCCTCCGTCAGCCTCCCGAGTGTGGGGATTACCCACGTGTGTCACCACACGCAGGCTTGCTGTACCTTAAACAATGATCTTTACCCCCAAGAAGAAAAAGGCAAGACGCGGTGTCTTCAAACGTGAAGCAAAGCTGCTAACACTAACAGCAGTTGTTCTGAGAGGAGGAGCAGCGAGCGGGGAGACGCCTCGTGAGCTCTAAGAGCTCCAGCACGATCGATCGCTGCCCTTTGTGTACTTCACAAAGCCCCTGAATAGCGTGACACACACTGGCCCCAGAGCCAGTTGTTGTAGTGACTGAGAGAAGTCAAGAAACCCCCAAATGCCAAGTCTAAAAGCTGCTACTGGAAAAAAGCCAACTCAGGGTGAGTAGCTCGGAGTGAAGGTCCTGGATCCCATCCCCAGCCCGCTGTCTCAGCCGCCCCCGCAGCAGGTCTGCTGCAGGGCCTCAGCAACATCCTCTCTGCCAGGACAGGAGCCAGTCCTGTCTGTGGAGCACCCACCCCCCACCACCTTTGTGACCTCTCTCCAGCCTGCGGGACGCGGGGCGCCGGGGATCAGAGCTGCTGTGCCGTGGCCTCGCCTGGGCCTTGCCACCCCTCTGCTTGCTCCCTTGCTCCACCACAGGCATCTACAGGCTCAGGACTGTGCCAGGCCTGCACCAGCAGCTCCCCCTCATCCTGCAAGTCCTGACTCTGATGTCACCTCCTGGAGAGGTCCCCTTGGATTGCACTGAGCAGTAGTCACAGGGCCGAGCCATGTCCCCTGTGCCATGTCCCTTCTGAACTGGCTCAGGAGGGCAGCACTGCCCATGTGTCCTCTGGCTCAGCGTGTGCTGGCTCTGCATGGTGCACTGGTGCCCCTGGCCCCCTTCCTGTGCCCCCTTCCCTGTTCACTGCAGCTGCACAGGGCTCTCCCTGCCCTGCTGGGCCTCCCAGGCAGGCTGTACTTTCTCCAGTACCCAGGGCTGCCGGGGTTTCTCTCCAGTGCCCACAGGGAGCATTGCGGACCCTGAGCCCATGAATGGGGTGCCCCATTCCCAGCCTGCAATGGCAGGGCAGCTTCCAGCCTCCACCATCTCTGCCTCTGGCTGCTCTGGCAGACCCCGGGGTGTGTCCAGCTTGGGGCTGAGGACAGCCAGAGGCCACAGGGTTCCTACGGGAGCCTCCTCTTTTTATCCCAGCCAGCACTCGGCACCAGGGCCTGTAGGACTCACAGGGCCAAGGCCTTCGGGCCCTCACCACCCCCTCGCCTGGCTTCCTGTGATGGAAGCTCGTCCACCCTCTCACGCCATGCTGGGCTCTGCCCCCATGCCTGGTGGTCAGCCAAACACTAGACTAGATGTCACTGTGAAGGTGTTCGGGAGGTGTGGTCCACACCCTGTCAGCTGTGCTCAGGAAAGCAGGTTACCTTCAGCACTGGGTGGGGCGCATTTGATTGCTGGAGGATTCAAGAGCAAAAGCTGCAGATGCTTAAAAACTTGGAGGCTTCAAGGCAGAGCCTATTAGGAAGGTTTGCCTCTGAGTCTCCAAGTTCGAGAGTTCCCAGCCCAGGGTCTCTGTGTGCCAAGTCCTCAGCACACCCTGTCACGTGTGTGTCTGTCTACATACACACATCTTAAGCACTGGCTGGTTCTAACAAATTTGACATGTCAAGTGTCCATATATGCATCTACACATGCATGTGTTCATATGTATATCTATTTAAGCATGCATGCATGTACATGGCTATGGATATGTATGGGTCTGCATATGCATATGTATCTACATGTTTCAATGATGCACACATCCATATATACACATATGTGTATCTATGTACATATTTATGTATGCATATGTGTATACATGTGTGTGTCCACATTTGCATGTATATATGTATATACAAAGCTATATATGTACATGTGCGCAAGTGTAGGCATCTATGCATGTTCTACATATGCATGTGTATGTATGTACATGTTCAAACACGCACATGTGTCTGTCTCCGACTGGCCTGGCCCTCTTGGAAGCCCGGCTCACATACACTCCCACCTAAGCTGCGAGGTGCTGGGCAGGGGAGAGGTTAGAAGACCAACTTCAATGCTGAGTGCCACCAGGGCTCAGTCCCAGCTCTGTCTCTCGTGAGCTGCGCAGCCCAGGACACACTCTGGACACCTCACCCAGCAGTGGGAGCCAAATCCGTTAAAACCAGCCAATGCCTAAGACAGAGCTCAGCGCGGGGCTTGCTAAGCGTGCCAAATGGTGTTCCTGCTCAGCACCCTGTGCTCAGGAGTCCTAGGCCAGGAAGCGACCTCCTCTCCTCTCCTCTCCTGGCTGAGCTCTGTGGTAACTTTACCGCCACTCACTCACGGCCAGGTGCTGGGGACAGTTGTTTTGGGGCCACTTCCACAGCTCCCACCCTTCTTCTAATGCAGCATCATCTCCACAGTTATCGATCAGCTGGAAGCGGGCGGGCTGCGTTTGGGTCTACAGCGTCTCCCCAGGGCCTCATGTGTCCCAAGGTGGGGCGTGGGAAGGCAACCAGATTGCAGGGTACTATTGCAGAATTGATATTAATAACGGGCCACTGTGGGTGAGACCTGGAAGGGCCCCTGGCTGCCCCGGCCCAGCTCCTGACCTCGCTCTCTGCCTCCTGATTCTACGACAGGAGCAGCTGTCACCCAGGCCCTTCCCCGACCCTCTTCTTCCCTTGAGCAGGCCATGAACTGAAAACACGAGCTAGAAGCATGAGTGTTGAGTATTTTGTCTCAGTGACGAGAGGATGACTAATACTTTGCTACCACGTGTGGGGACACTGCTGGGACTGTGCCTAAGCACGTGATCCAAAGTCTTTGGATCTGGTTTGTGGAAGGGGTTCAGACAGGTTGAGGGATGCTGGCTAGAAAAGCCCTAGACTGCGGTAAGCTGAGCTCGATGGGTGATTCCGGTCAGCACTCAGAAGGCCAGAGTGCTGACAGGCCTGCAGGCGAGAAAGGCCTGCTCAGCAGGCTTAAGTAGAGCAGAAGGGCTCTGCTGGCAACTGGGCCAGAGGCCTGGTGCACTTCGATTTTTATAACATTTGTCTGCATTTTATCCATGTACTGAGATTCTGAAGACGATTGACATTTAATAACATACTATAGGGACGATCCCTGAAAGCACAGCCTTGAAGACCGACACTTAGGACAGCAGAACAATTAATCTACAAAGGAAATTTCAAGGCAGCATGACATTCAGACTACGGCATGGGTGTTGCTGGCAGATTGTAGCCAGATATTTGCTAAACGTCAAGAGGAAACATTAGAACAACGAAACGTAAAAAGCAAGGTTTCATCAGAGAGCGAAAGCGCCTGAAGCCTGGAGACGGCAGTGAGGAGACGAGCGTCCCAAAGAAGCCCAGCGCTCTTCACAACAGAAAAGAAGCAATCTCAGGGTGGGAAGGGACCCAGGGAATTTGCTTTGGCTTCACTTCGCATGCTCAGCCCCGCAGGCCTTCAGAG